AGGACAAAAATTCTAACTTGGTAAAAGGGCACCAGATCTGGGGGAGAGTCAGCAGTATATTCTAGGTGTGTGATCAGTGACTTTCCTCCAGGGAATTCTAAGTGACCAAGAGCTTGCACACTTTACACAAGGAGCTCAAACCCAAAGTGTGGGCCTCCAGACCCACGTGGTGTTTCCTGTCTTCCCAGCCTGCCCTGTGGCTTGGGTGGTTTACTGAGACTCACAGTCACACTGCACTTTTCCTTCCTTCCCTTTTATTCCCGTGATCTGCTCCAGACGCCCCACAAGGGCAAGCCTCTGGCCATGGCAGCAGAGAGAAAGCCTACTTACCAAGACGTCTCTAGTACTTTAAGAATTGCTATGTCTGCATTGAATTAAATCTACATTAAAAAAAAGAAACAACCTCTTTTTCCTGCAGAAAGTAGAAAAATTGGCTGTTCTGCACAGATATCATGGCAGTTCAGAAGCAAACCCTATTCAGACAGCACTAAGAGCACTTCCCTGGAATTCTAGAGATTCTCTTGGGAGGTGCAGAATTATTTCCACACTTACTTCTTTTGGAGTCACTGCCACCCCCAGACCCTATCTCTGATCTTAATCATGATTCCCAAAGTCACTTGGCCAGTTCTGATGGCGCTCTCCGAGGGCCCCTCCCCCCACCCAAACCTCACCCCAGGCACAATGTGCAAGCTCCCTCTAGAGCAGCGGTTCTCAACCTGTGGGTCGCGACACCTTTGGGGGTGGAACGACCCTTTCACAGGGGTCGCCTAAGACCATCAGAAAACACATATATAATTACATGTTGTTTTTGTGATTAATCACTATGCTTAATTATGTTCAATTTGTAACAATGAAAATACATCCTGCATATCAGATATTTACATTACGATTCATAACAGTAGCAAAATTACAGTTATGAAGTAGCAACGAAAATAATTTTATGGTTGGGGGTCACCACAACGTGAGGAACTGTATTAAAGGGTCGCAGGATTAGGAAGGTTGAGAACCACTGCTCTAGAGCTTGCACGGGAGCTTGTAACTCCTCCTTTACTTCCTTCCTGATAGTTTAGTGAGGTAACATCTAGGTAAGAGTGTCCCTTACCCTGATTTCATTGGCTGACCCCAGGATGTGCAACTGGAATGACAGCTTCCAATGAAGGTCCTGGAGTGCCTTTAGGAAGCAGCTTTGGCCTTTGGATCGGGACATGTCAACACTGCCCGAGTGAAATACGAAAGAAATGTGCAGTCACCCCAACCTTGACATCAAAATAAATTGGGAACAGAAGTGGCATATTTCCTGTGCAACATCCTTTGCCTCCTGTAAGTCCACAGTAGCCAAACAAGGTCCATTTTACCTACAGAAAACTAAAAAACCCACGAAGTGAAATCAGTTTGGCTAAAAGATCTGGAGGGTGACTCCTGGCTCTGAAGTGTCAGGGTGCCTCTAGTTATGTAGTATATCCAAACTATTACAACTTGGCTTAGTCAGTGGATCATGTATATTTAAAGATAAAAAAGAGACCCAGCTCTTTTCCTATTAATCCCAACCTCAGTTCAGTTACAATTAATAGAATTTACTGAGTACTTACAAGCTGTGCTTTCCGCTCCCCAGTGGTTCTCAGTTTTCACTGACACCAGTGAAAGGGACCACCTAAGGGAACATTGAAAACTACAGATGTCCAGACCTCCACTTCCAAGAGTCAGATTCAACTGGTTTAGGGCAGTTGATTCTAATGTGAAGCCAACACTGAAACCTTCCATGGCTCAAGCCACCATCACCACTACCACCACCCTCTCCACCATCACCATCACCTCTACCACCACCATCTCCACCATCACCATCACTTCTACCACCACCATCACCACTACCACCACCATCACCACCAGTACTAACACCACTACTACCATCACCACTACCACCCCATCTCTATCACTACTACCACAACCATCTCCACCAACACCATCACTACCACCACCTCCCCCATCACCACCACTCAGGGATATACAAATTGATATTCTACTCTCACAGCTAAAGAATATATATTGCACAATGACTGACCTGTAGTAGGTTCTCACATATTTGTTGAACAAAATCCTCCTTGACTAAACCCTCCAAGACGGGGTGGAGACAGAGTATCTGACAGGTGCTCAGATCCCTAATGCTGGTGTGAGCTGAAGGAAAGAAACGGGAATATTATACGTCATCTATATCAAGCCCTGTCCCCTGTCCATCTTATACAGTAGGAAAATGAAGCTAGGAAAACAATGCAATACAGATGACACTGCTATTATTTAGGGGCAGAGCCCAAGCTACCACTTCATCTTCTATCTCCCAATCCAGTGTTACAAACGTGGTACAAATGTCCCTTACTTCCCAGATGTATGACATTGGGAGGCCTGGGGGGCTGCAGATAGCCCCTCCTCAAAGAGGGGCCCTGGATTCAGACCCAGGCCTCCATTTCTGATCTCCAAGGTCTGGCATCCACACTTCGTTGGGGCTGGTTCCTTTATGGTTTTTCTGTTCACACCTAGGGGCTGGGCCTGTGCAGACTGAATGGGGGACACCCCGAAAAGGGAGCACAGACCTCCCCTCCTCTACACCAGGGCTCCTTGCAGGCTGTTTATTCCCACCTTCCTCCGGGCTCCAGCCAGCCAGTGGCTCCTGCACAGGTCTGTGTGCAGCTCTGCTCGCAGTGTCTTGATGAGGCACCGTGTTTAATCTTCCACCCGGATTATTTAACCTCCGCATCCTTGTTAACAAACAGCCATTATTAAGGAGAGGAGAGACCACATGGAGTGGGCTTCTGCAGACAATGCACTCTCCCTGGGCCTTTCTGCGAGCAGATTCATAATCCTCAGACTCAGCCTGGGAGCCCTCCCGCCAGGCCCCACTGAAGAGAGACCGGGTGATCTGGACCCTTACCCACTATCCCCTCGGCTAGAGGGCCTGGGCTCTGCTGTATCTCTCCCTTCCCTGCCTTCCTCTCTGGCGCGAACTCCCAAGGGATGGCTACAGCGCGTTATAAATTTTACCTTTTCAGTGTGCAGAAGAGGCGAGAGGAGGCTGTGTCCCAGCTCCGGGCAGCCCGTCCCCGAGGACACCAATTAAATGCACTAATTGGACAGCAATGCATCAAAGTCGTTCCCGGGAGTGGGTCCTCAGAGCGCCAGGAATCCATTAGTTGGGCTTTTGTTTCAAAACAGAAATACAGAAGAAGAAGAAGAAAAGAGAAAAACAGCACCTCGACGCTGCCGGGAGCGGCGCGCGTGCGGTGCCTCGTGGCCGCCTCCGGGCCGTCTGCGCTGCGAGCCTCCTGCTCTTGGCTCCTGCTCCAGGCTCCGCGC